TACTACTACTACTACTACACACACACACACACACACACACACACACACACACACACACACACACACACACACACACACACACACACACACACACACTCAAACACACACACGCACACAGGCTGCGTCACGCCTCCACTGACAGAGGGACGTCTTGCCCACCTGTGGCTTCTGACTCCTGGAGCCAGCCATCTTCTCTGGCAGCCACCATTTCTCTCTCCTACCAACCATCCTCTGAAACTCATCTGGTTGTGAAATCATACATTTTTACAACTTGCTGTTCCAACTTTTTTTTTTTTTTTTTTTAAGGAAAGAAGGACTTTTGTTAAGAAGAAGATTCAGAAGTTCAAGAGAAGTAAGGGGCGAGAAGAAGAGCGATTCCCAAAGGAGCCTCGGAGAACTTCAGAGTGGTAAGACATCGGCCATTTTGAATTTCAATACTCTCTTGAGTTGAAAGTGTTTAGAAAAGATATTAAAATGGGTAAAATAAAAACGCTTATTCAACACTTACGAAGAAAGTTAAAAGTTGGGATGATAAAAGTAGTGGAAATGAGGACAATCACTTGAAAAGTACAGGGATCAATGTCCATGTGTTTCATTTTTATTGGGTGATAATATAAAATGCATAATGTGAGCCGTAGCAACAGATCAGTGCTGAGAAGTGGTCGGCTGCTGGGGTGCTAAATAAATGATACTGGTCTCCCCATATTCCCTCTTTTTGTCTTGCTTTGCGCCTCCATCTGTTGGTTGTTGGACACTGAAGCAACCATATGCTCTGTATGTATTAATCATCCAGCCTGATCCCTGTTAGTCTGATAAAACATGGATTTAGAACATTTCTCCAGAACAAGCCTTTGAGGGCTTCCCTGCCCCCTTAAAATAGTATTTATCTTTCTTTACATCTCTGCTATTCTTTAGACTTTACCAGCAGAATAATGCCATCACCTGTCACGTGCGATGTTAAGCTTTCTCCATCACACTTTTAGCAAATACCATATAACAGAATTTCATGATCTGATACACATTTTACATTTTATAAAAGTTTAGTTGAAGAGTTTCTCTTTATGATCGTCTAGGATGGCATCTAGTTATTATTTGGCAGCGTATTTTCCCTCTTTGAGATTGATGTATTTTATGCATGTTCCTTATTCAATTAAAACATAATAATAATACAAATGCAAAAGAGGTTGAAGACACGACCTGGGCAGTTATCCCTCAGCTGAGATTTAGTTACGACTTGAATTCGTGTCTGTGTTTTTATTTTCTTCTCAATATCTTCTTCATTATTCAGTGATTAGTGTTTTGTCTCCAAGCCTGTATCTGTTCAGATGAGTTTTCCCTCATTAGATTGTGTGTGTGTGTGTGTGTGTGTGTGTGTGTGTGTGTGTGTGTGTGTGTGTGTGTGTGTGTGTGTGTGTGTGTGTGTGTGTACACAAAAGAAAGATATACCTGAATACAAATACATGAATGAATATACCTTTAGATTAAAGGACAAATCAGATGCTCATCAAACCCTTTAGAAGATCCTAACAAAGATTGTTTCAGATGTTTTCACATGCTAACCTTTTATTTGTGAACCTTTTGGTCAGGGTGTCGCAAATCGACGGTTATCGTCTAGACAGGACCATGTCTATGGCCCCTTGGTTCCTACTGAACATATTCATTTATAAATATAAGCTTACAAACATAGGGCTCTATTTTCCTGCAGGCGCAAAGAAGCACTTGGGTGCAAGCAGATTTCATGCACTTTTCTTTCGTAGAATGTATCTTTAGCATCAGTAATTTACTGTTGCTGAACTAATGGGCTGACAAATAATCTCAGACCAACCATTCTACAAAATGATTTGATGATTCTGTAGAATATTTGAATAGATACACTGTAGCTCACAATCCTGACTGCCTGTTCTTCTCTCTGTCTCCCAGACTCGTGTTACGTCGGTGCATCATAACGGAGGAGCAGAGGCTAACGGGAAGAAGGTACAGCTCACAGACAGGATATAGAAATAATTTACTGCTGGTGGGCCGCCATCTTCGGCTCTGTTGAGATTGTTATGTTTTACAGTCAGATTGAATTTCAGTCGTTCAATTTAAAAAAGGCAATTCCTGCTTATAACAACCTGGGCCTCACATCCTGCGACTTATTTTTTTACATAATGTACATCATTTGTAGCAGTGCTATAAACACAGTACATAAAGCTTTATTGCAGCATTCTAATGTGTCTACTGTCAGGTATGTAGGGAGGTGTGTGGCGCAGTAGGTTGTGGGTATTTGTTCGGATCAGGGGGTCTCTCTCTAGGTCAGTGGTTCCCAACCTGTATGTTCTTCATACAGCGGGAATCCAAATGAATTAATCCTGAGTCCAATAACCATCAAAGTCACTCCAATAGTGCTCCTTAATTACGCTTTCATCCTCCTTTAACAAAATACTTCACATTCATCCAGTTTGTGACAGTAGTTGTAGCATTTTTGAGACTTTTAAACTTTAACTACCACTGTTGCCCCCCCCCCCCACACACACAAGGGGGGGGGGGCAACAGCGGTAATTAAAGTTTAAACTTTAAAAGACTCCCGCCGCTGGAAGTATAGGATTTGGTATGACTTTGTTCTTCATGGTTGGCTTTACTATGCCGATTAAGGACTGGGGGGCGCAACTCCTCTCAGTCCTGGTTTTAGTTCAGAGTGTCCT